ACACAGCCTGGCCCTCATACACACAGCCTGGCCCTCATACACACAGCCTGGCCCTCATACACACAGCCTGGCCCTCATACACACAGCCTGGCCCTCATACACACAGCCTGGCCCTCATACACACAGCCTGGCCCTCATACACACAGCCTGGCCCTCATACACACAGCCTGGCCCTCATACACACAGCCTGGCCCTCATACACACAGCCTGGCCCTCATACACACAGCCTGGCCCTCATACACACAGCCTGGCCCTCATATCATACACACAGCCTGGCCCTCATACACACAGCCTGGCCCTCATACACACAGCCTGGCCCTCATACACACAGCCAGGCCCTCATTTCATCCAGTCCAGAGGAATAGAAAGAGAATAGAAGAGGCAATGAGAGGACATCCCCTCTCAGAGAAAGGTCTATCTAAGGCCCCTTCTCCCAGGCAGGATGTAGATGAATAATTTAGACAGGAAAGGTAAGCTGCTGCTGCTGCTGCGGCAGACCGCTACGGCTACGGCTTCTGCTCTGACTAGCACACACTGGGACTGGCAGATCAGCTCTGTATACTGTGTGTGATATGCCACACCTGTCAGGTGGATGGATTATCTTGGCAAAGGATAAATACTCACTGACAGTGATGTAAACAAATTTGTGCACGACATTTGAGAGAAATAAACTTTTTGTGCGTATGGAACATTTCTGGGATTATTTATTTCAGCTCATGAAACATGGGACCAACACTTTATATAATTTTTTGTTCAGTGTAATTTCCACTTTAAAATGTTAGACTTGATTTGCACAAATGTACCACCCCCCTTAAAATCCTGTATCTGTACACAATAGAGTTTGTGCGAAATTAGTTCAGACAGCATGAGTGATGTTTTGACCTTTGAAAAAAATATGTATCTATTTTGAAAGTTATATATCTTGAAAACTTGATTGCTGACATGCAAAACATTTTGGGACTATATAAACAATGGACTAATTAAACAAATACCAAAAGATTTTGGGTGGAATTTTCTTTGAAACAATAGATGACAAGCTCCCTATTGTACGATACAGTAAACACTGAACACTGTAGGGGAGGCCGGGGATGGTTGTAACACTTTTCACCTTTTGGTCAATTTCTCAGAGATCCTTTATGGTAGGGTGTTCAAAACTCATTACAAACAACCTAAATCTGTCTTTTACAAATTGGTATGGTTATTATATATGTAAATCAAACTGCAAATGCATGGTGTTATCTTAAATACAAGGAGTGAAGTGTTACAATTTACCCCATGGTCTGGGTTAGTTGTAACAGTAACAGTGCTTGGGGTGAATTGTAACAGATTGAAAAAACGCATAAATCATGACATGCAACTAATTATTTAACACCTTTATTGAGACCATGAGAGCAACATTGCCATGTTTAACATTTTATTTGGCAGAAAAAATTATAAATATAAATAATAAAAAAGTCAGGGCTTGACTTTTGATGCTCTTCTTCCAGTGCCTGCTTGACAGGTGTCTCTGTCAAAATCACAGTTTTACTCCTCTTCCTACCCCTTGTTGTAATTTTCCCGGGCCCTGCTTTTGGGAAGGGGCGTACATCAACTGGGTTGAAATCAGAAGAGTAATCGGGTGCTTCACAGCCACAGCCTGATACATGTGGGGAGGTGCCCTGTTAAGTGGCTGGAGAGGTGGCCTGGAAGGCAGCTGGAGAGGTGGCCTTGAAGGCAGCTGGAGAGATGGCCTGGAGAGGTGGCCTGGAAGGCAGCTGGAGAGGTGGCCTGGAGAGGTGGCCTGGAAGGCAGCTGGAGAGATGGCCTGGAGAGGTGGCCTGGAAGGCAGCTGGAGAGATGGCCTGGAGAGGTGGCCTGGAAGGCAGCTGGAGAGATGGCCTGGAGAGGTGGCCTGGAAGGCAGCTGGAGAGATGGCCTGGAGAGGTGGCCTGGAAGGCAGCTGGAGCGGTGGCCTGGAAGGCAGCTGGAGAGGTGGCCTGGAAGGCAGTTGGAGAGGTGGGCTGGAAGGCAGCTGGAGAGGTGGGCTGGGAGGCAGCTGGAGAGGTGGGCTGGTTAGCAGTGGGCATGGTGGGCATAAATCAGCTGCCCTCAAAAGATACTCTGACAACTTCTGCTCCTGCTCATCCATGAAGACCCTGTTGACACTACGGTAGCCTACATGAGGAAGCTCTCTCGACCCCTTCTCCAGTAGCTTCTTTCTTTCTTTGCAGAATCTGTACAGTGTCACATGACATACAGTGGGGGAAAAAAGTATTTAGTCAGCCACCAATTGTGCAAGTTCTCCCACTTAAAAAGATGAGAGAGGCCTGTAATTTTCATATGTACACGTCAACTATGACAGACAAATTGAGATTTTTTTTTCTAGAAAATCACATTGTAGGATTTTTAATGAATTTATTTGCAAATTATGGTGGAAAATAAGTATTTGGTCACCTACAAACAAGCAAGATTTCTGGCTCTCACAGACCTGTAACTTCTTCTTTAAGAGGCTCCTCTGTCCTCCACTCGTTACCTGTATTAATGGCACCTGTTTGAACTTGTTATCAGTATAAAAGACACCTATCCACAACCTCAAACAGTCACACTCCAAACTCCACTATGGCCAAGACCAAAGAGCTGTCAAAGGACACCAGACCTGCACCAGGCTGGGAAGACTGAATCTGCAATAGGTAAGCAGCTTGGTTTGAAGAAATCAACTGTGGGAGCAATTATTAGGAAATGGAAGACATACAAGACCACTGATAATCTCCCTCGATCTGGGGCTCCACGCAAGATCTCACCCCGTGGGGTCAAAATGATCACAAGAACAGTGAGCAAAAATCCCAGAACCACACGGGGGGACCTAGTGAATGACCTGCAGAGAGCTGGGACCAAAGTAACAAAGCCTACCATCAGTAACACACTACGCCGCCAGGGACTCAAATCCTGCAGTGCAAGACGTGTCCCCCTGCTTAAGCCAGTACATGTCCAGGCCCGTCTGAAGTTTGCTAGAGTGCATTTGGATGATCCAGAAGAGGATTGGGAGAATGTCATATGGTCAGATGAAACCAAAATATAACTTTTTGGTAAAAACTCAACTCGTCGTGTTTGGAGGACAAAGAATGCTGAGTTGTATCCAAAGAACACCATACCTACTGTGAAGCATGGGGGTGGAAACATCATGCTTTGGGGCTGTTTTTCTGCAAAGGGACCAGGACGACTGATCTGTGTAAAGGAAAGAATGAATGGGGCCATGTATCGTGAGATTTTGAGTGAAAACCTCCTTCCATCAGCAAGGGCATTGAAGATGAAACGTGGCTGGGTCTTTCAGCATGACAATGATCCCAAACACACCACCCGGGCAACGAAGGAGTGGCTTCGTAAGAAGCATTTCAAGGTCCTGGAGTGGCCTAGCCAGTCTCCAGATCTCAACCCCATAGAAAATCTTTGGAGGAAGTTGAAAGTCTGTGTTGCCCAGCGACAGCCCCAAAACATCACTGCTCTAGAGGAGATCTGCATGGAGGAATGGGCCAAAATACCAGCAACAGTGTGTGAAAACCTTGTGAAGACTTACAGAAAAAGTTTGACCTGTGTCATTGCCAACAAAGGGTATACAACAAAGTATTGAGAAACTTTTGTTATTGACCAAATACTTATTTTCCACCATAATTTGCAAATAAATTCATAAAAAATCCTACAATGTGATTTTCTGGATTTTCTTTCCTCATTTTGTCTGTCATAGTTGACGTGTACCTATGATGAAAATTACAGGCCTCTCTCATCTTTTTAAGTTGGAGAACTTGCACAATTGGTGGCTGACTAAATACTTTTTTCCCCCACTGTATGCCATACAACTTTGCAACCGATCTGATTGACTTCCCCTGCTCTGCTGCATCATTTGACGCTCTTTTCAAAGCGTGGAGCGGTACTCCCCTGTCTGTCTTTCTTTTCCATGATCTAGGCATGCTGAAAGTAAAAGAAAACATGTACCAAAAACATCCAGTTTTACTCTGGGTTAGTTGTAACATTTTCTCACAAGTTGTTACAACTAGCCCTGACCCTTGCAGCCATTAGCTAGCTTCCATTTTAGCTAAATGTAAAAACTTTAGCATTGCTAACTTGCATCTACACAGACTGGTTATAAACCTGATATAAGTTTGGTGAATGGAACTACAAAGCAGTTGATGCCATCACAAAAACAGATTTGGACAAAGTAATTACTTTCTTACCTCAAAATCAGATTTCTGTCAATAGAATCTGCTGAATTTATCACAGGCACTTGCTTTTTCACATGATTGTTCAGGACTAAACTGAGCATGTACACAGTGAATCACATGATTCTACCTCACTCCTGATTGGAGGAATTGCAAGTGTTACAACTATCCCGTGTTACAACCATCCCCGGTCTCCCCTACCCTTGCTCTCTTCCTCTATCTTTACACTCTCAGTCCCTTTCTTCCTCTCTCTCACTCTCTATTCTTTCTCTTGAATTGTCTCTCTTTCATTCTCTTCCCTCCCTCCCCCTCTCTCCCTCCCTGAAGCCCTCTGCCAACAGACAGACAGTGCAGAGGGGAGCAGCCCAGGCTGAAACATGTCATTTAAGATGCGTTGGTCCCTCCCCTTTTTCCGTCTTGAGTCTTAACACCTTCTGCATGTCGTTAGGGGCCTTGCTTTGCTTCAACTCATTATGTTGTTTAGGGTGATAAGAATGGCAAATTAAGGAAGGGACCCCCTGAGCGCGGCGACACAGCAGTAGAGAGAGCGAGAGAGAGGGAGAGAGAGAGAGAGAAGGAGAGAGAAAGAGAGGGAGAGAGAGAGAGAGAGGACGAATGGCCAGGCACAAAGAGGCAAAATATGTGCAGTCAGCGACACATTTGCATGTTTGGCTGCTCTAACCTGAGTGGCACAGTCAGAAGAAACTACATGGGGATGGCTCTTCTCAGATAGAGAGCGAGATGAGATGATTGAGTCACCAGCGGTTAGCTTTCACAGAACACAGCGCGTCTCTGCTGGAGGCTCAGCTAGCGTAGCCCGCCTGCTACCAGCTCCTACAGACACAACCGGAACACACGTGAGATGAATCATGGCTAACAACTTAATCCAGAAAACATGCCTGTGAACGAAAATTACAATTAAATCAATTACCAAAAAACAATTACAAATCGATGGAACATGTCTAAGATTTTGTAATGACCAGGATAAACTGCAGATCATTTGATAGAATTAAAGTGTGTGTGGATCTTTCGATGTGTGCGGTATTGTTTTCAATACCATGTACTGGAACTGCATATGTACCTGAGACTGACATTGAAAAAGCTTTCAGGAGCGGACCAACCTTGTGGTAGCAGGTAAAACCACCACACAGTCAGTCTCTTTCACTGTACTGAAAGGCAGTGGGTTGAGTTAGCTGTGATGAGCACAGCAGGAGAAGTGAGAGAGAGAAATAGCTGACCTTCACTGCAGTCAGCTGCCAGATGTCTGGTCAAATGTAGACCCAGCTAGCCTATAAAATAGTTTATGTACACAGGTATTGTATCCGATCAAGTTTCCTGAGTCAAACCAACATTTATTCACCCCGACTGTTGAAAACCCCAATTGCCCTCACCAGCTAGCTACATACAGCTCACTAGCCCTCCATAGAGATCTGTATTAACCCTGCCATAACATGAGTCCTTCGGCTGTACGTTATTGTAACATTTCTCATACAATTTTGTGAAAACCTGCTTCTGATCCAGAAGCCTTAAAAAGGTTCAGGAGAGTGTAATATTTCGAGGCAGGTGAGTCCAAAGTCCAGAGCAATCAATCGTAGTGGAGGACTTTCAAAATGCTGCAAAAAACAGTAGTGTTGTTGACAACAGTGTCATTAATAGAGTGGTGCAGCATTTCAGTAAAACGGCCCTTAAGACAAATGATATCCAGTCCCATCAGCAGACAGTACTCTTCATTTCAGCTCTGTCATTATATTAGGCTACATAACAGTAAATACCAGACCTTGTTGCGGTGCTTCGAAGGCTACTCAGTAGGCTACAAATCATAAAAGCCACCAACAGTGCTCTATTTCAGAGAGGAAAGTCAGACTACAAAAGGATAAAAGTCCACTGCAGAAAATGTGCAATGAGAAAATAAATAACACCAAGAAGATAAAAAAGGACATGAAACAGTGAAGAAGTGAGCGCTGTTATATTTGCACTGATGCATTTTGATCAGGAAATAAAACACCAGAAGGCGAACAGGCAGAGTTAGTTAGTTTACATTGAGAGCTCTCTTTGTAGACACTTCCTCCCCCGTGAGTTGAAGGATTGAGAATTAGAGAGCAGAGAGCGGTGTATCGGCACGACATAGAGCGAGGGAAGAGGAAATGAAAGAATGTGCGTTTGATCCTGCCTTCTGGTCTGCTGTCTGCTCTACTCTTTTCTGTTCTCCACTGCTCTGGCCTTGGTCAGGGTATTAGGATGCAGGAGGAGACAGACGGGAGAGTGGAGGATCTAACAAGGCCATGGATGTGTCCGAAATGACACCCTATTCCGTATATTGTGCACTACTTTGACCACAGCCCTATGGACCCTAGGGAATAGGGTGCCATTTTGGACGTACCCATGGCCTTGTTAGATCCTCCACTCCCCTGTCTAACTGTTTATGTGTCCACTATTAGAGCAGTGTTATGCTGCAGAGTTGATCGTGACTGTGACAGCAGAGTGTGTGTGTGTGTGTGCTGCAACCAAGGCTTCATCTGGATGCCAGACAAAGAGCAGTTTTCATCCTAAGTGAACGCAGTGAAAGCTCGGGTGCTGTCTGGGTTCTTTATCTTTCAATATAGTGGCAGCGCACATCAAACTGCAGGTCGCTGTGACCCCGGAGAAACAGATTGAAAATCCTCAATCTGAAAAATTCCAACCCACCTCTCCCTCTCTCATTTATTTTTGTTCCAGCCAGGGCCAATCAATGTCTGTCTTTCACACTCATCACCTCTGCTGGCCTGCAGAGTGGCAGACTGGCACTGCTGCAGAGATGGACTTATTACAGCTGAGGTGAAGTTGATATAGGACTGAGTCTCTTGGTCATAAACCCCTGAAAAATGACTGTATGCTATGCAGTGCTGCTGAAGTCCACAATACCGGATTGGGGTCAATTCCATTTCAATTGTCAATTCAGGAAGTAAAGTGACATTCAGAAAACATTTTACTTCCTGATTTGACTGAATTTAAATGGAATTGACCCCAAACTCTGTACAGTCTCGCCATCAGGTGGGGCGGACAGTGTGGGCCATTTACATAATCTGGTTTAGATCCTATTAGTATCAATAGACCATCATGGCACACATACTGTCACAAACAATGAGGGAAAACGAAGGTGATTGTGAACATAAAGTGCATACAGGAAAGCCAGAGGACCATACTCACATATCTGGTGAAGAACTCATCCACCTCAGCCTGCAGTTTGCTCTGACACTCTGGGTGAAGAGCCAGGAGGTAGCAAGTGAAGGCTAGGGTGTTGCTACTGGTCTCATACCCCGCCAAGAAGAACACAAACGCCTGGCCCACTATCTCATCCTCCGACATCATCCTCTTCTGGGTCTGGACCGAGCGCCTGTTGGGTGACTCGTGGCTGACGCCAACATTTTCTTGCTGGTTTGTGTGTGTGGGGTCCAGCTCATCTGTATGGTTGACCACATCAAAGTGCTCCAGTGACACACACTCCTTGCTGCTCCGCGTGTCCAGCATCAGCTGTAGGAAGTCTCGCCGCCGCTACATACAGAGAAACACACACACACAAAGAGAGAGAGATCAAGATCAGAGAAGAGGAGGACAGGAGACATTACAAGTCCTTTATTATTTCATATCTATTCCCATCTTTACAAAGGATAGTTAGGCTGCCATAGTAATACCTCTTCAACTGGCTGCTCATCTCTCTGGCTGATGATCTTCTGAATGCAGTTGATGAAGAAGTTGTTCATCTCATCCCTCCTCTTGTTGGGGAGGACCCGGGCCAGAGGAATCAGGAATGGAAAGGCAACTGAAGACAAAATATAGTATTTGTCACTCCATGTATGGCATCAACTAGGGAATGCAGCAGTATTTGAATTGGACAATTTGACAAATTAGGAATACTTTAAAGTGATGATGAGTTAGTTGGCCTCAGGGCAGGGCTCCACAGTACTCACTGAAGACGAACATGATGGGTGTGAAGAAGGAGAAAGAGAAGAACTTCTGGGCGTGGTGGACCAACGGGTCATCTGGGTCCTTCTGAGAGTCCACCTGGGTGCCAAAGGCAACGCTGGCTATCACGTCCATGGTGAAACAGCCAAAACACCTGAGGAGAGAGTCCCAACCCAGTCAACACAATACGGTATGTATGTACTGAATACCATACATAGAGAGCCTTTATACAATGATAATACAGTATCCACATTATAATTTACCACTAGAATAGCAGATCTGAGGCTGTCTGTAGACATTTGAATTTGTCAACTTTTTGTTAGGAAAACTACAGGATAACATTTGTATAGCGTAATGACTGAGCAGTCCTTCCATTACAGTATACTGACCCTGCTGAGAGGGAGAGATACTGTAGTTGCTGTACCTGTGAATGTCAAAGCTCTCTCCAGACTCAGCATGACCATTGAGGTTGGTGAGCAGGGTGTCAGTAGCCGTGTTGATCAGAGGACCCATCTGCATGGGGACAGAGACAGAGAAACACTCTCATCTAGATTCTGATATGAAAATGGGGTTGCGGGAGAATTTCCAAAATACTGGTTAAAAAAAATATACAGTCGTGGTCAAAAGTTTTGAGAATGACACAAGTATTGGTCTTCACAAAGTTTGCTGCTTCAGTGTTTTTAGATATTTTTGTCAGATGTTACTATGGTATACTGAAGTATAATTACAAGCATTCCATAAGTGTCAAAGGCTTTTATTGACAATTACATTAAGTTTACGCAAAGAGTCAATATTTGCAGTGTTGACCCTTCTTTTTCAATACCTCTGCAATCCGCCCTGGCATGCTGTCAATTAACTTCTGGGCCACATCCTGACTGATGGCAGCCCATTCTTGCATAATCAATGCTTGGAGTTTGTCAGAATTTGTGGGGTTTTGTTTGTCCACCTGCCTCTTGAGGATTGACCACAAGTTCTCAATGGGATTAAGGTATGGGGAGTTTCCTGGCCATGGACCCAAAATGTCAATGTTTTTTTCCCAGAGCCACTTAGTTATCACTTTTGCCTTATGGCAAGGTGCTCCATCATGCTGGAAAAGGCATTGTTCGTCACCAAACTGTTCTTGGATGGTTGGGAGAAATTGCTCTCGGAGGATGTGTTGGTACCATTCTTTATTCATTGCTGTGTTCTTAGGCAAAATTGTGAGTGAGCCCACTCCCTTGGCTGAGAAGCAACCCCACACATGAACGGTCTCAGGATGCTTTACTGTTGGCATGACACAGGACTGATGGTAGCGCTCACCTTGTCTTTTCCGGACAAGCAATGATGACGGCATGTGTTTCCTTGCAGGTAACCATGGTTAACAGAGGAAGAACAATGATTTCAAGCACCACCCTCCTTTTAAAGCTTCCAGTCTGTTATTCTAACTCAATCAGCATGACAGAGTGATCTCCAGCCTTGTCCTCGTCAACACTCTCACCTGTGTTAACGAGAGAATCACTGACATGATGTCAGCTGGTCCTTTTGTGGCAGGGCTGAAATGCAGTGGAAATGTTTTTTGGGATTAAGTTCATTTTCATGGCATCTGCTCACTCATCATAACATTCTGGAGTATATGCAAATTGCCATCATAAAAACTGAGGCAGCAGACTTTGTGAAAATTTATATTTGTGTCATTCTCAAAACTTTTGACCACGACTGTATATATATATATATATAATATCCTCTTTGTCTCTCAAAATCATTATTACATTTTAGTCATTTAGCAGACGCTCTTATCCAGAGCGATTTACAGTTAGTGAGTGCATACATTATTTTTGTATTTTTCATACTGCCCCCCCGTGGGAATCGAACCCACAACCCTGGCGTTGCAAACGCCATGCTCTACCAACTGAGCTACATCCCTGCCAGCCATTCCCTCCCCTACCCTGGACGACGCTGGGCCAATTGTGTGCCGCCCCATGGGTCTCCCGGTCGCGGCCGGCTACGACAGAGCCTGGATTATAATGGTTAATCTTAAAAATCTAAATGAAAATGATTCAAATCTAAAATTCAACCAGAGAGCGCCCTTAGATCGTGGGAAAAGGCCACACTTGACCGTTGCACTTGAATCATTCCCACGGTGAATGGCTAGCCCCGCTACGCTATGAAACCACACACTATTGCAGAGACTTTGATATTACCGGCCACAATTGATATGGTGAAAACAATGTGTGGAGAGGCAGAGGCACAGAAACTCACATCAATATCTTTGTCAGATATCACTGTGAAACTAAGAATTGATGCTATTGCTAGCAATCAAGAGGAAACTGACTGAACGAGTCAAAAACGACCCAACTTATATTCTTCAAATGGACCTTAGCTGTGAGGTCCAAGATGCCCATGCATTGACTTTTGTTCTCTACATGTCGGAGGATGCTATTCATGAGGACATATTGTTCTGTCTCACGATTCCCGAGCATGAAACGGCACAGGGGATGTTCAATGTGGTGCGTGGCTTTATTGCCGGAAAACTGATTCCTTTTTGCACAGATGGGGCTCCATCTATTATGAGACGGTGAGCAGGCATCTGCACTGTAGTTATGAATGTGTCTTCCTCTGCCATATGGACGCATTGTATGATACACCCACTAAGCTACAATGGATACACCGGGAACAACTGGCGGCGAAAGAGCTGAGCGCAGAACTCTGAGATAAGCAGCAAGTAACTTCGATTGTACACTACATAGCACACGCCTGTTCGCAAAACTATGTGGAGATATGGGATCAGAGCATGACAATGTTGTATTTCACACTGAGGTTTGGTGGTTATTGAGGGGGAGTGTTAGAACGATTTTTTGAATTGAGAGAGGAACTGTTGTCATTCACAATGGATGTAAAAAACAGACTTTGTTGACTTTCTGTGTAAAGAAAATAAAATGTGGCTCCTTGCCTATGTAACAGACATATTTGGGAAACTGAACGAACTGAACTCAAGCATGCAGGGGAAATACAAAACAATTATACAGATGTGTGACCGATTCAGCGAAATCCGTTTGACTGTGATACTGGCTGAGTTGATATGCAGGTAAGTGAAATCGAACACCTGATCGAGCTGCCATGTGACCGAATGTTGTAGACAACACATTCACGGGTCACTATGGAGACAATTATAGAATGGCAAGTCACGTTGAACAACAAAGGAGCTTAATTTAAAAATGGCTGTTGTGGCTTCTGCTACCTAACATGAGGATGAAAAGGGCAGTTTTTCGGATAAAGTAGCAGTCGTTCAATCTTCTCGGTGTAACAGTTGGGATAATGGGACAATTTGAAGTACAACGCATATCTCATCCCTGGATTGAGGTACGTTTTCAGAGCCATATCTCGTGCTGGCACCGCTGTGTCTTAATCTACACAGGAAGCCTGTCCGACCCTAGTGCAGCTGTAAGCAAGCGGGTCGGATCTGCTGGCTAATGCCTATGTATAGTGCATACGGAAAGTATTCAGACCCCTTGACTTCTTCCACATTTTGATACGTTACAGCCTTATTCTAAAATTGATTAAATTGTTTTTTTTCCTCATCAATCTACACACAATACCCCATAAGGACAAAGCAAAAACAGGTTTTTAGAATGTTTAGCAAATTTATTAAAAATAAAGAACGGAAATATCACATTTACAGTTGAAGTCGGAAGTTTACATACACCTTAGCCAAATACATTTAAACTCAGTTTTTCACAATTCCTGACATTTAATCCTAGTAAAAAGTCCCTGTCTTAGGTCAGTTAGGATCACCACTTTATTTTAAGAATGTGAAATGTCAGAATAATAGTAGAGAGAATGATTTATTTCAGCTTTTATTTCTAACATCACATTCCCAGTGGGTCAGAAGTTTACATACACTCAATTAGTATTTGGTAGCATTGCCTTTAAATTGTTAATCTTGGGTCAAACGTTTCGGGTAGCCTTCCAAAAGCTTCCCACAATAAGTTGGGTGAATTAATGCCCATTCCTCCTGACAGAGCTGGTGTAACTGAGTCAGGTTTGTAGGCCTCCTTGCTCGCACACGCTTTTCAGTTCTGCCCACACATTTTCTATAAGATTGAGGTCAGGGCTTTGTGATGGCTACTCCAATGCCTTGACTTTGTTGTCCTTAAGCCATTTTGCCACAACTTTGGAAGTATGCTTGGGGTCATTGTCCATTTGGAAGACCCATTTGCGACCAAGCTTTAACTTCCTGACTGATGTCTTGAGATGTTGCTTCAATATATCCACATAATTTTCCTTCCTCATGATGCCATCTATTTTGTGAAGTTCACCAGTCCCTCCTGCAGCAAAGCACCCCCACAGCATGATGATGCCACCCCCGTGCTTCACGGTTGGGATGGTGTTCTTCGGCTTGCAAGCAACCCCCTTTTTCCTCCAAACATAACGATGGTCATTATGGCCAAACAGTTCTAGTTTCGTTTCATCAGACCAGAGGACATTTCTCCAAAAAGTACGATCTTTGTCCCCATGTGCAGTTGCAAACCGTAGTCTGGCTTTTTTATGGCAGTTTTGGAGCAGTGGCTTCTTCCTTGCTGAGCGGCCTTTCAGGTTATGTCGATATAGGACTCGTTTTACTGTGGATATAGATACTTTTGTACCTGTTTCCTCCAGCATCTTCACAAGGTCCTTTGCTGTTGTTCTGGGATTGATTTGCACTTTTTGCACCAAAGTACGTTCATCTCTAGGAGACAGAACGCGTCTCCTTCCTGAGCGGTTTGACGGCTGCGTGGTCCCATGGTGTTTATACTTGCGTACTATTGTTTGTACAGATGAACGTGGTACCTTCAGGCATTTGGAAATTGCTCCCAAGGATGAACCAGACTTGTGGAGGTCTACCATTTTTTTCTGAGGTCTTGGCTGATTTCTTTTGATTTTCCCATGATGTCAAGCAAAGAGGCACTGAGTTTGAAGGTAGGCCTTGAAATACATCCACAGGTACACCTCCAATTGACTCAAATGATGTCAATTAGCCTATCAGAAGCTTCTAAAGCCATGACATCATTTTCTGGAATTTTCCAAGCTGTTTAAAGGCACAGTCAACTTAGTCATTAAGTTGTAAACTTCTGACCCACTGGAATTGTGATACAGTGAATTATAAGTGAAATAATCTG